ATTTCTATAGTGATTTACTGTAAAAAATTCTGGTTTACTGTACTTACAGCTATAGTGATTAAAACAAAAAAACTATTATATTTTGGAAAAAATTTCTAATCTACCTCCAAATTAAAGATGTTACACTAACTCCCAAGAAAGTTAAAGTGCATAGTAATCACAAATGAAATGACTTAGCAGACAACTAAGCAAAAGAAGGTATAGTGGCGAGTAACACTATCACTCTGAAAACAACAGAAAACTCAAGATTCCAGTATGCAGCATATTGGAAAAACAAATTAATCAAAATTTCTTTAAGAGTTTTTGTTAAAATGCTTACCAACATGAAACTTGGAGCAGAATGAAGACTCTCAAAAGCAATCACAAAAATATCACACCCAAGTGTTTTTAATAAAAAGTCCTGATCCTTTGTTTGAAGCAGACTAAATAAAATCTCAGAAATACATAGTAACTCATTGAAAAAAAGAAAGAAAACAGGTTTCATTATCAAATATCTTACAAAAAAATTTTCACTTATAGAAGAGTTATATAGAAGAAAACCAGAATTATACAAATCTACAGATTATATATTATGTAATAAAGGTTATACAAAAATCTAAAACACTTAGTAGAGTACAAAAGCCAAGAAATCTCCTGGTTTAGTATTCAGTCTATTACAATAGATATAGCATAGAAACAATTATCAGAAGAATCTAAAGATATGTTATACAAAAAAGATCTTAGAAGTACAATTTTTGGTGATCATTGTGCAAAAACACTTGAAACAAGGAAGTGTCTAATAAAAGGTTCTATCCAGATTGAGGTTCTAGAAAAAGTAAAAAACATACTAGCATTAAGAAGAGAAGCTACAAACTGTATTAACCACATAATTACTATAGTTTGGAATAGCTTCTTTGAAATTATTCAGAAAGACAGATGCCAAATAGTTAATATATAGAAAAGGATGAATGATATAATAAGTATAGCCAAAAGAGCAAGAAAAAACTAAAATAAGAACAAAAATATTATACAAGAGAGAAGAAAAAGACAGAGTAGCTATACTTCTAGCTCATCAAGAAGAAAAGAAGAAAGCAAATTTATATAAATCAAGAAGAGTCCAATTGGTATAAGGCAGTTAAATCTTTAATAGAGAAAGGAATATTAGGCTTTATTATAAAAGAAAAAAGTCTTTTT